GACTTGCGATCAGAGTCATGGAACGGATTAAGTTCGTAAGTAGAGGTACCACTGTATATGGGTAGTCCCATCTTTTTTGCAGCCTTCAACCCCTCAAAATGTTAAATGTAGCCCTCAGCCGCTAAACAGTGGCCCAGACCCATTTAGTGGGATAACTACATAGAAGCCTGGTTCACATATCACAGAAAACCACAAGTTACAAGCTAGAAAGGCTAGGTTCACCCAACATTCTAAATCATACCCAAAGAAACCACACTATTAACGTAGCATAGTGCATGTTATCCAGCCAGGCATTCTCCTCTCTCAAGTGTTAGAAATAAAGTCCTGGATAAGAAGCATGCACATTTTCCAACAGCCTTCCCTTCACACAATCACTTAGCAGCACATAACTCACTTATCTGCAGTATAATTCTATGGTGCAAAGTGGTATGTATAAAAATAATACCATGACATGGAGAAAAAGAGGACAGGAATTGCTACTTAAATACAATCTTGTTATGTCATTGTGGTTTTTTTCTTTCTTCTTTCTTTTTTGCTATAGATCCATTGTATTTAGTTTTGTTTTCTTCTATTCTCAAAATTTTCAGATATTATTATTATCATCATCATCACAGAGAGCACACATGCCCTTATTTTTTCTATCCTGCACTGGTGAGATCACAGTACTATATACAATTCTGGGTTTTCCATTTCCCAAAGGATATTAACCAGTTAGAACAAGTTCTGAGGAGGGCAACAAAGAGGACATATTGTCAAGGAACATATGAAGACATCAGGCTGAAAGAACTAGGGATGGAGAAAAAATGGCTGAGGGAACACATGATATCAGTGTTCAGGTACATGAAAGAGTTCCAAAGAAAAGATGGTCAAGAAATATTTTCCACTGTTTAAATATGTGGATGAAAGGACTAAAATTTACACTGTGTTACAATCTTAAAGAGAATTTTAATAAAATGGTGTGTCGTTGGTACTTGTCACCAGAAAAATTATCTAAAATGTATAATGGTACTTCAAATTTATGTTGGAAATGTGAACAAGAGGGGATTTTCTATCATGTTTGGCAGACTTGTAAAAAAGCTTAAAAAATTGAAATCAAATACATAATTTAATTCAGAAGATTTTAAAGATTAATATACAATCAAAACCAGGTACCTTTCTTTTGGGATTGATGGACAAACAGCTGGAAAAAAACTCATGGAACTTTGTTTCTATATAGGACAATAGCAGCGAGGCTTCTATATGCACAAAGGTAGAAAGACTTGGCATTACCTACAATGGAAGAATGGATGGTGAAGTTGATAGAGTTGGCTGAGATTGCGAAACTGACGGCTTTGATTAGAGAAAAGACACTGAGTAATTTTAATGCTAATTGGAAGCCTTTCTTGGACTTTTTGCATGAAACAGAAAAAAATGAAATTATGATGTATGGATTTGATGATTAGAAATCATAGTGGACAATAGAAAAAATGAAAGGGAGTGTTTGAAAGAAATATTACAGTAACCAATTGTTTCAAGATTGTTAACCTTCTCTCATGACTCTGATTTTCATGGATATCGCTGTACTTCCTCTTGTAGCAGTTTTGAAGAATCTTACATACGCATATATACAATTGTCCAGACATATAATATCATCATGCACACACATTAAAAGTTTATATTCACATATTATTATGGTATAGCAAATAGCAACTTGTCCTAACAACCTGATAATCAGTACAACAAACCCTGCACTGGTCCTAGCCATAAAGAGAAGCTTCTAAAAACTACTAGTTTTAGTACAACATCTCCAAAAACAAAAGCTTCATTCAGAACCCACATTACTAAACAGCAAAAGAAAGGCTCACTCAAATTAATTGCCAATAGCAGTATTAAAAGAAGAAAAAGAGAAAGCTGGCTGAATATCCAGTTCATCTAAAAATAAGGCTACCCAGTTAGGAGTGTTTACAACATCTTTTTTTTTTTTTCTGAAACAGAATTGGACTGATTATTCTACTTACTAAAACATTATTTTATGGCTTATATTAGTTCATACATTCACAGAGTTAGACAGGATCATTTTGGCCACTGCATCCAATCCCTGCTCCATATAGAAATCCAAATTAAAACATCTCTGAAAGATGGTTGCCAGCCTCTACTTGAATATATCCAGTAAAGAAAAGTTTAGCATCTCTCTGACCAATCAGTTCAAAGTCAGAATGCTCTTACCCATTCTAGTTTCTACTGAAGAACCATGTATATATACTATGATATCTCTACATTGCAGATTGTACTAAGGTAAGTAGGAACTTTTGACCTTTTCAGACATAAAATTTATCTGTAAACCAAATATTCATTATGTAGCCAATGATTTTTCTTATCATGTATTTCTACCATAATACTGTAATGATACAATTGTGATCTACCTTAGAGCAGACCCATGGCCTGACTAGGGTTCCCAAATCAAAGTCAAAATTCTTGGGCATGCACTTAGTTCATATAGAAGTTCTCACGTGAAGCAAGAGCACCCCAAAACTGGTTCATGTGAATTGAGAGCAAAGCTTAGAACATATTCAATAATCCCTGCTTTTGATAAAGTAGTAAATTATTGGAAAGGCTAGTCTGAAAAATGCATGCACCATTACCAATCTTCACAGTTAAGAAGCTCCAGTACACTGCCAGGGAACTTCACAATCCCCCAGAACACAGTTTACTCCCCTAACCACAGAATGTCACAAAGCAATTACAAATAAAATGTAGACAGGGCATGTATGAAAAAAGCCACACCCTAGCAGACTATAAGCAATAGGACACTTAGGAAACTTCAAGTACAACTTCTCCAGCCTGCAATCAACAGGAAAAAGGAAGTTGAGTCAAACTAAGAGCTTAGGGGAACATTTGTATGTGCTGAACCACTTTCTGTTTAGCCACTATAAAATTAAACAGAATACAACTGTTGAAAAAGTAGGTTGAAAGGGAGCAAGGGGAAGCTTTGTTATAGTAATCAGGACCACATTATATTGTGATTCAGGAACAAACAGAATATGCCCAAGGCTTGTATTAAATGTAGAATATCATCAGCTATAAGCATCGTTCCCATTTTCATTCCAGTACAGCACCACGTGCATACAAAAGCTATCACACTGTCTCATCCACCTAGGAAGGAAGGAAGGAAGGAAGGAAGGAAGGGTTTACAATCTATTTAATTCAGCGATGATATGCCTCAAACACGAACACTGTACTGCTAGAGTACAATTTTTCTAGAAGGCAAGATTAATTTCCTCACCCAGCACAATGTTTAATAATGCTAATTTTTACCTGTCTTCTCAAAATTAAGAATGACTCATGGATTTCAATAGAACCAACTCTTAAGCATATATAGGTTTGCAGTCTTACATAACCACATGGATGGAATATACAACAGGGAATATACAGCAGGGAAATCTGGGAACCATCACAAATAGCTAATACAGAATCACATCACAGGAGTAGTAAAATGAGTAACAGCAGGTGACAAACTTCTTCCAAATCAGGTAGCAAAAAAAAAGTTTTAGTTTATAAGCCACACACTTATTCCAGCATTTACAAAAATACATACTGTATGCAAGTTAAGTCTTCATAAGCACAAATATAATCTGAAGACACTTTCATTTTCAGTTTTAAATCTTCGCTATACTATGTTGCCTTAAGCACAGATCAAATACCAAGAGAGTTGTGAGTTTACTCTAAAGGCACCTCAACCTCTGCATCCCATTTTGCTCAAGGGCTCTTCCTCCTAACTCAGCAGGCAGAGGATTGCCACCTTCCCTAGTGCAAGGCTGCTGAAGTCCACAAGGTTTACTACCGAGTTATCGTGGTCAAATTACTTATTACCCCTTGAATCAGAGCCATACCAGACTAGGACGGTAGAAGGAAGAAGGCTGGGTAAAACATGAACCACTTCTACTTCTGATGCACACAATCGGGCTGCAAAATTGTTGGCCTTTTAAAGTGCTGCAAGACTTCTTTTCTCCGGTTGTTATAAGACGCCTTCCTGGCCGAATTTCAGTCACCCGAAACTCGGGTCCCACCAGTACGACCACAATCAATCCAGCCCCCCGCCTGCGCCGAAGTCACGAGCGGATGCATCCTCTCTCGCTCTCTCATTCACACTCCCTGTCACACATTTCCACACTGGGCCCCAGACACTTCTCTGATCCCGGCACTAACCCGCGCCTTCTCACATGAGAATAGCTGTCAGGAAAGAA